TCTCCGACGTGACGGGGGAGTTAGCGAGACCATAGCGACGGGCCTGACCCACCACAGTCCCCAGATGGGGATTTTCCGCACGGAGCCAGCTGCCAAAGGGGGACTTGAAATCATCTATGATAGCACCTTTGTATGAAGAACACTCTCTTGGTTTGTGATCAAAACGACCACACTGCGAACAGTAGGACGGGAGTCTCTCGTACTGTAATAGGAGCCATAGCGCCTCACTGCCATCCGGTGACGGTAGGCGGACTTGAAGGCCCCGACGGAGAGGTAAGGAGATATCCAAGACCACACGAACGCGGAGATAATCTCCCATACAGATACCATGTCTATCACAGTTGACTGTCAAGACCGTTCCCATCGTACCACCTAATTCTTCCCCCATGATTCGCGTCAAAAACTGAGCCGGAAGGCCATGGATACGCACCCAGAAAGCTTGGGTTTGAAGGGGGATTAACGCTGGGACGGCTAAGTCCGGGACTTCGGCCAAGGCAAGAAGATCCCTGCCAAAGGTCCATGGTCCACCTTCCAAAATGCGCCGCACATCACTCGCATTAGAAAAGGCAAAAAGGAAACGGTCATCCCGGATACTAACAATCTCCACCATGGCTTTGGGTCTCCACAGACCTTTGATAACATTGATAAAGGCACCCTTGTTGACTGGTTTGGACGACAGGACCTTCCCAACTAAAAAACTTTTGGAACAGCGACTGCGCTCGGCTATGGCATCACTGACCACGAAGGTAATCTTCTCTTTGTCAGAAAAAGAGAAGCTCTCTGTGAACTTGTTGATAAACTCCTCCATGACTGCGCAAGACGGAGGTGGTCAAGCGACTGGGTTTAAGGCTAAGAAAGCCTATACCACCTGATGGTGACTCAAAGCTCTCTCGGAGCACTCTTTCAACAAGGTTTTTCCTGAATGATCGTATTGGACTCTTCTTAAATCGCAGATTAGTGTGTGCTAAGAATTAAACCCATCAAAATGACGTCGTTTTCGATATGTTGGTATTTTGGCGACCAAATTATTTTGGGGCTAATTTGAGACTATAAAAATAAAAATTCCCCTTCACCAACACGCGTGTTATTTCCCTCATTCAGTTCGCATGCCCTAACCTGCTCCGACGCCGACAAAGCAATCTGCCACCGACGTCGGCCAAGCACTCGTATGGACATACCCACTCTCTTCCCCCAAGATTTCTGATGGCCTGAGTTATTTTCCATTGTCTCTGCCCCAGACCATCTACCCTTCAGTTCTCCAGAATTTTCAGAATCTCTACAGCCACAACCAAGCAGTGATTCAAAGGTATTTTCTTCTTTTGTTTATTCAACAATTGTTCTATAGTTATTTGATTTTGATTCTTTCAAAATAAAATCTGTTTTTTTTTTTACTTAATAACAAGGTCGTTGCAACCCCTCAACCATTGAATTGACGAAGTCCTCCTCTCACGACTTCCTTCATATGGTGCCTTTCTGTTAGGTATGAAGACCATTTTCAAAATAAAATATGTTTTTTTTTTTGACTTAATAACAAGGTCGTTGCAAGATAGTTACTGAAAACTACTTCATACCATGTGGATTGGTTCTTAACGATAATGTTGAATGAAAGAAGGTTAAACAATTAAGGAACGAACAATTAAGGACTGACAAGTAACAAACTGGTACATGAGTGATTCTCCCAAGTATAGTAGACTTTTGAATTATTTAGAATCAGTTACGAGCCCTTGTGTAAGTGTCTTTAATTTATTAGATGAGTTTGTAGTCAAACCTAATTGGATTTGCATATAATTGAAGTAAAAAAATTGGAAGTTGGAAGTGGGTCATGTGGGTGTGTATTCGTTTCAAGGTTTCTTTGCTTGTCTGTGAGATTATGCTTTATTTTAGTTTTTATTATTGTTTTTTTTTTGGGTCAAAGGAGCTTATGCTTTTATTGTTTGGGAGAATTAAACTAGGAAAAATAATGTTGTTGTTTTTGGATGATTAGTGAAACTTAAAGGGCGAAGTCATAGACTATTTTGAGTTTGCAGACTAATTTGGTCTCAAGCTCTCCCAAAATATCGTGTCTAACAAATTTTGTTATTTTTTGCAGTAGCCTATTTGAAACACTTTCTGTGATGAATAATTCATCTATCTCAAGCACCTTTGTGATGAGAGTCGGTGTCATAAAAGTTGAATGCTTTAAATTTTTTCTTGTCTTTTTTGTTTTGTTTCACGGAATGATATATTAGTATGTTGCTCTGTTTGAGGCTTTGAGCCTTCTCTCTCTGTTTTTGTGCTTTGTAAATGTGCAGGATGATACTTAAGAGGGCTGTTAGCTTAAGCAATAATAATAGGCCACATATCAGCATGTGTCTCATTCTCTAAGGTGGTTATTTCTTTCACCCATGTAATCAAATCTTCAGAGCCTGTTTTCTCAGTTTTCTTTTCGTCGTTTCTAGGCAATTCGTACACTTTACGGGTCTGGCTTTCAATCCTCCCTATTGTCTTGAGTTGTTCTCTAGCTGCAATTGATGAGGTGTCATTCAATTTCCAAGGCCTGTGGGGTGCTTTGATTAGCAATCTTGGGTTTGTGTTGAGGAACATTTACTCAAAATGCAGTTTACAGAACTTCAAGGAAGTAGATGGGTTGAATTTGTATGGTTGGATCACTTTACTTTCACTCCTCTATCTATTTCTTGTGGCTATTTGTATGGTTGGGAAATGCTTGTATATCCTGACAATGGTTTTTTATACTGAAAACTCAGGTTTTTTTTTATTTTATTATTTTATATTTATTTTTATACTGAAAGGCCTTAATTTTCCACTGAATTGGTTGGGTACATAGATTTGGAATGGAATCACGTTTTGACAACCTCTCTCTCGCTCTCTCTCTGATTTTGTAGTAGCGTTTTCCTCTATTTTCCCTTTATTTAATTGGTTGTGCTTTGTAATTCAATATTGCACTGTGGTCTTGTACGTTTCTTCAATGATATATCAAACTGTCCATTTTTTTTATAGACACTTTGTATTTCTTTTAGAGTTTTGTTGTTTAGTGCAGCCCAGTCTGTTTTGGATTTTGTTTTTGACATGCTTCCTTTACTTCGAATGCCATGAAATTTTGATGTGATGAAGTTTTATGTATCTAGTTCTGACCTGGAAAGTTTCGCACTATTTCGACTCAAACTGATTTTTTTTGTGAATTTCCCAAGTTGAAGTGTTCCTGCCCAAATTGTTTAACAAAATATGTATTTGGTCATCTATGATTTAATGCAAACTACTTCATACCGTTTTTGTTGAATTGTCGTTTTGCTTATCAATGTTTGAAGACCAAATTAAAGTGCCTAGAAAATTAGGAATGTCGGGCTATGTGCTTAAGCAAACTCTGTGTCTTGGGCTTGAAAATATGTTAAAGAAATATCTTCAAGACTTCTAGTTTTTCACTAGGATCATCCTCTGTTAGCTTGTGTTTTCACTTTTAAAGAATTTTTCATGTTATTTAATCTCAATTCAATCCTCTTTTGCTATATTTAGATCTCTTTTTATTTCAATTCTTCATTGTATTCTAGTGGAAACTGAAAAAGTTGTCGTTCAGTGTTTCTATTTGCTTTGAAAACATTAAAAACAATGAGTGATTGCCTTATTTGGGTTTGTGGTTCTCTTTATCTCATAATGTGTTTAGAACAATGTCATTTAGGAGTCTAACTTTACTGAGGTAATATCCTGTTTTTGCATGTCAGATTATTTGATGAGGTGGAAGGATTTGGTTTGTGGTTTTGGACAGAGGACCATTTGAGGTAAGAACCTCTTCTTCTCATTACACTCAGTTCCATTTGTTTTCTTATTAACAGCTATAGTGGTTGTCAATGTCATTGTGGTGTTGTTTGTTTAAATTATTAAAATGACATACGTGTTTTGTATTGTGTTGAGAAGTTATGCAACCCATGTTGGTTAAGGTGTGGATTATACTTTGGATTTTATGATTTATGTTTTCTAATGGGTTTGTGCTATGCATGATATAAGTCTTTACATTGATTTTTCGGAATTGTTTTCCTTCTTCATTTGTGGTATTTGTTATTATCACAAAGGTATGCTTTAGACAGTTGATATTGAGAGGTATGAAAAATGAATTCAAATTTTATTAAGTTTGTTCAAATACCATTCTCAAACATTCTTAAATATTGATGACCAGTGATCATTTTTCTTGTGTAGATCCAAACCCTTTTTAATGGCGTATTTAGTTAAGATTGTGAATTTTAGCTTTTGGGCAAGATTTCTTGTAATTGTTTGTTTTTGGTCTATATATTTAAATTTTCTTTGTTTTGGCATCTTCTTGACCATTGGCATTTCCTTGTTTTGTTTATTTTGTAAAGGAAGATGATTGATGAGTTTGAGCAGATCAAGCAACAATTGGCAGAGTGTTTGGGAATTCCATGATATTAGA